CTTCTTCTTCTTCTTCTTCTTCTTCTTCTTCTTCTTCTTCTTCTTCTTCTTCTCTCTTATTGTCCCTGTAAAGGTTTTCCCTGAGATCTGTCTTATTGTCCCTGTAAAGGTTTTCTCTGATATCTGTCTTATTGTCCATGTACAGGTTTTCCCTAAAGTCTCTGTCTTATTGTCCATGTACAGGTGTTCCCTGAGGCTAACAGGGCTGGTCTTGTCGGAGACGCTTTCATTTTTGCGCGGTGAGTTTTTTAGTTTCTTTTGTTTTTGGGTTTAATTCCCCACATGTGTTTATAATTGTTGTTATTGTTGTTGTTGGGGGGGGGGGGGCTTTTTATTTAGCTTCATTTAAATTGTGTGCCATGTTAATGATCTTGTTAATCTCAAGCAATCGCATACTTATAAGTATGTGAGCAAAAATATACGACGGTAATTCAACACTTAAAGGAAACTGTACACTAATATGAATAAAAATAAGGATCTATATTTTATTACTTTTCACGGGTTTGTTCAAGTGTTCTAAGTTTTTATCGCTTTTTTAAGAAAGTGCGTTTAATTCCCTGTGATATTGCAAATATTTATATCACGTCTATGTAATGATTTGATATACATTTCTAGAAATCTGGGGGAAGGCGCTTATCAATACTCTCTCAGATGTCACTTTCTCCATATTATTTGGACCAGTATTCATTTTATACAAAAAATGTAAATCAATTATTCAAGTAGGCCTACTTTTGAATACATTTATCAATTTATAATGACCATTTGTGTGTGTTCGTAAGTGCAAGTAAGTGTGTGTGAGTGTGTGTGTGTGTGTGTGTGTGTGTGTGTGTGTGTGTGTGTGTGAGAGAGTGTGAGAGAGAGAGAGAAAGAGAGAAAGAGTGTGCGTGTATGTGTGTGTGTATGTGTGTGTGTGTGCGTGTATGTATGTGTTAACATTACTATGCCACAGAAAATGTATCATTATTATGAAGACCTATACAATGTTATCTTCCCTTACCTTACCTGGCTTATCTTATCCTTTCTTATCGTATCTTATCTTATCTTATCTTACCTTATCTCCTCGTCCTGTCGACTGATTGTGATTTTCATCCGTCATTCTTTCCTTCCATGTCTCAGAGCTGACCTGCTGGACTATGACATTGCCCTTAACCTGACACGGTACTTGAAGAAAGAACAGAGTTATATCCCCTGGCAAGCCTTTCTCCATTCCATTGAGTTTCTGCGGGGTATGATATCTAACAAGGCCGCATATGTTCAGCTTCAGGTAAGTCTCTATGTGTACGTGTGTGCGTGTGTGTGTGTGTGTGTGTATGTGTGTGTGTGTGTGTGTGTGTTTGTGTGTGTGTGTGTGTGTATGCGTATGTTTGTGTATGTGTGTATGTGTGTATTTGTGTATGTGTGTGTGTGCGTATGTTTGTGTATGCGTATCTTTGTGTATGTGTGTGTGTATGTGTGTATGTGCGTGTTTGTGTATGTGTGTGTCTGTGTGTATGTGTGTATGTGTGTGTGTGTGTGTGTGTGTGTGTGTGTGTGCATGTGTGTGTGTGCATGAGAATGTGTGTCAGTGTGCTTTTCTGTTTGTGAAAGTATGAGATTTATGGTCAGCCAGCTGTTCAAATGTTGCAAGCCGAAAAAGAAAAAAATTCTCATGATATCGGCTGCACATGATCAAGAAACATTTTGTCGTAATTCAAATTCTAATTGCTGTAGAGAGCAAGAAAAGATAAAGTCTGTTTCCCTCAGGCTGTCAAATTACAGATATTTAAAGGTACGTACCCACCAAAGCTCTCTTGATAAGCATAAATAAAATTGCCTCACGCATGCCCAGGGGATGCTATGGTGGCTCTACGTGCCTGCACAGACAAAGGTCTGCACCTAAGAGACATCATTATTATTTTACGTTGTTCTCTGATTTGCCGAAAACACACAGATCAAACACTATAGTGCGGTAAAAAAATTCGTGGCACAACTTATTGTCAAACATTTCCTTAACCATCGAACATAAACTCTCCAACTTTTGCACGATGACCTGAGTCAAATGTCTTAACTGATCTATATTTGTGTAAACACCTGTTAGCTCTATTCTAGAAAATTCCCAAATAAATACCAATAAAAATCCCAGTGGGTGATTACTACAGATTTTACAGGGTTTACAGCTGGGTCAACATCGCATTTTAAAAGCAAGTCCGTAATTTGTTTTTTCTAATCGCTACATTATACTCATCGAAAGCACGTATTGAAAACATTTTGTGCAAAAAAAGTGTTCAATAATAAAATTAATTTCTTGTAACAAGTTTTGTCACTAAAAAGTGTCATTGATTAACTGTGGCGGAGGCCATATGTTGTATGCAAAATGTGTGTGAGAAGTGGGAAGTGTTGTGAACAATACATTTTTTTCCGAATGGCGGAGATTTATAGTATTTTATATAAATTTATGAAAGAAGCCTCAATTGTTGAAGGAAAATATGATTGCATTCAAATTGAGACAAACTGTCGTGCAAACTAGGGTTGACATTGATTCACCCTTTCAAGAGATAATATATTTGAGGATAAGTCATACCACAAATATTTGACTGCACTGAAGTTTGCTTTCCTTTGTTGGCATCATCGTCTTTTCCCTCTCAGTTTCCACGGGCTTGGGACCGTCTGAGAGTACTCTGTACACCGGGGCCTGATTAAAAAGACGGCGCTACCGAGCGCTCACGTCTGGGTTATGTTAGTCCTTAGTGAGGTTATGAATGTTAGTGTTATGGGTTATGTTAGTCCTTAGTGAGGTAATGAATGTTAGTGTTATAATGGGTAATGTTAGGTGTTAGTGAGGTTATGAATGTTAGTGTTATGTTATTTGTTGGTTAGGTAATGAATGGTAGTGTTATGTTTGTCGTTAGTGAGATAATGAATGTTAGTGTTATGAGTTACGTTTGCCGACAGAGACATTTTGAACGCTAGTGTTATGGGTTATGTTAGTCGTGAATAAGGTTATAAATGTTAAAGTTATAGGTTGAGTCAGTCAACGAAGGGAATGCTGAAATCATTAAATTACATCAACTTGAGTAAGTTATTAAGGTTAAGAATATCAATGTCATGGGTTGGATTAGTTAACGAATTGGATGTTAAGTTCTGTACATTGAACAAGATAAAGTAGAGCTACAGTTGGTATTCTAATGATTATTAATTAAGAAGTGGTTCCTGAAATAGCGGAAGTCAAAAGTGCCGACTAAACCAAGCGCTGCCCCCACAGTGGTTGGAATGGTTACGGCTCGTTAGTAATGCATTAGTGAAAACACGCACAAGAACAAACGAGAGAAAAGCCTACGTGTTAAATAGAACCCAAGCTCTTTAGGTACTGGGAGACAACTGTGTTAGAAAAGTTAAATTAGAGAAAATGTCGAGTCCACTCAGAAGGTAGCAAGTCCCCCCTCAGTGGTTCCGTGGGTAACTGCTCACCAGCGACACGTGCAAGTCCTCGCCGACAGCACGTGATCATTTCAGCTGTGACGTACACACGTGATACTTACCTTGGTGTGTCCTCTACACCTGCTTTCTGCCTTTCTTCCTTCTCCTTCACTCCATCCTCCGGTCCTAGTGTTCTGTCATTCTTTCTTCTCCTTCACTCCATCCTCCGGTCCTAGTGTTCTGTTATTCTTTCTTCTCCTTCACTCCATCCTCCAGTCCTAGTGTTCTTTCATTCTTTCTTCTCCTTCACTCCATCCTCCGGTCCTAGTGTTCTTTCATTCTTTCTTCTCCTTCACTCCATCCTCCGGTCCTAGTGTTCTGTTATTCTTTCTTCTCCTTCACTCCATCCTCCGGTCCTAGTGTTCTGTCATCGAGTTTTCTGTCGTGTGGGACAAACAGTGGTACAAAACACGGGTCACATGTGGTTGAGGGGACCAATTTCTAAGGAAATATTAGTATTAGTGGATTTCAAAAGCGAAAAATAATGCATTCATTGGATATTACATAAACGGAACTGGAAACGATAGGAAGATAGGGAAACAACGTTTGTAAGTAAGTCGGAAAAAGTAGAAAAACAAAAACAAAACATGCGACTACAGCACTCTCGCTCGTTACAGAGAGTCTATGGTTACCCTGAACTGCTCAAAGCGCACACGCAGGAATCCTAAGAGGTCGCAGACAGAATGTCGGTGTCGTGGGTTGTTCTGCACAAGCCTGGAGAGAACGAATCTGTGGAGTAGGCAATGACATTGAGGTTAGCAATCGGAGACTTCAAGAGAAAGCAAGTACGTGGTAAATTGACATTTCTAAAGCTTCTAGACGGCAAACAGCAAGCAACGCGGTAGTAAAGGAACAATTGTCATCTTCTTTTAAAGTGGAATCAACATCAGTGATGATAACAGTGAAGAGAGCTGAACAGGTTCACACTCAAAAGTGAAGAGAAAGATGCTGAGAAACCGAAGTATGCCGTGTTACATGTAGAAGCCCAAACGAGACAGCAGTGTACTGTTGGATTCCCAAACCTGCAGAAGATCCTCCCAGTCGCCAGGTACACGTTTGAAGACCAGACACCAAAGCGTGGCTCCAAGTGCGTACGCGTCAGTCTGTAAAGTGACCAACAATACCGTTTGTCAGAGAGTGAGCAAATTGTACCTAGTAGCACATTTCAACTGCAACATACGAGGACATTCACATAGCACGTAGGAAGAAGATAAGGCTGGTGAACAAGGAGATATGCTCTAAGCATAGAAAACACGAACAAACAAAAACATAAACTAATGGCCATACAAATGTGGGATACCATGTATATAGCCTGAATAAAAGAAAATCATAGCGTAGAGATTGTAACTCTTAAACAAAATCACCACAAACAACAATACAAACAATAAAGAAACAAAAAACAACAACAAACAACAACAAACAAACAAACAGACAAATAAATAAACTGACAAACAGACGAAACAAAAAGCGAACAAACTGAAAACAACAATAAGCCTAACAAATATTCAAACTCACACACAAACAATCTAATTGAGAAAAAAACTGTGCAGTTACTCACCAGAAAAGGATCTACGGTGACGTCAACTGGATCTCTGGAGCGAGAAAGCCATTAGTTCCAAGTATGCTCCAGCTTCTCACTGGGTCTTGTCCGTGGGCCAAGAAGCGGGACATCCCCAGGTCGCCGAGAATAGCTTTGCTGGATTCATCAAGGAAGATGTTGCCGGGCTTCACGTCCCCATGAACAGCGCACCTATAGTGAAGATATATCAGTGCACAGGCTGTATGCACGAAACAGCTCTCTATCTGCTCCTTGTTTAAACTGTGACGTGCATCGTGCAAAGATCCTCGTGAGCACAGAGGCATGTAGATAGCTACAAATCCCGTGCACCTCACAGCCCAGTCCATCTTCATGATGTGCGGATGCGAGACGTTGCCCATGAAGCTGATTTCCTTGAAAACCTCACGCCAGCTGTCGTGGCCTTGGCAGTCGGTGAGACCCATCTTTTTGATGACCTTGTGAACGGAGTCGTCGTCTTCCATTGCCACTTCCAGAACTTGGACAGGTGTGATCGTCTTCTGGCACAGAACACGCACTGGCCACATCTTCACGGATGACCAGAAGTCACCAGAAACAAACTTCACAACGGGAACTGCAACACTTTCCATACTTGAAAATACACGAGAGCGGTGCAGAAATGATACTCAGGCACATTGAAACAGCAACGTCTTCTCACTGCAAGAGGAATACGGTCAACTGGAAGATGTCTAGGGCTGCTGGCGTTATATTCCCTATCGCTCCTCCTTTCCTCCCTACCTATTGTGTCCGTCTCTCTAGGTGTGAAACAACATGGCCGTAAGTGTGAAACAACACTGGAACAGTCTTTGTTGCGATGACTAACCTTTCCATTTACTCCTGTTGACCAGTGTTCCCAACAGCTGGGCGCCGTTGACCGTATGACGCAATAGCGGCCAGCGGCTCATCAGGACTCCATTGTGACTGCTGTGCGATTGGTAGAAATACAAAGAACAACATACTGAAGGCTTTCAAAAAACGATAAAATAAACGTCTGGAGCGACACATGCTCAATGTAATCAACTACCTTTTGTGGACGTTAAAAGTAAAGCCCCGAGGCCAGGTGCCAGTAACAACAGACAATACACAAAGAGATCAAGATACCGCGCACATACCCAAACCTTGAGCAAAAAAGCCCTAAAAAATTTTTAAAAAGAAAATCGCGTCAAAACTACATGTTCAGCTCCATATGACCAGTTACTCTTGATTCTGTGTGTCGATAAACTGGTTAAACATTCTCTACTGCACCTTTTCTTGTTTCTTATCGGACAATATTAGTAATATCTTTTATGTTCTATCCTGAAAAGGTCTACAAACAATCAATAATATTTTTAAGCTTTTACTAGCTGTTTTAGCCTACTGACTGTGGCATGGGCGGCCGTGTGCTTAGGTTGTCGGACTTGAAACCTTGAGAAAGACATTTCTTACAAGAAAAGAAAGTACTAGCGGTAAAACTTCATATTTAGCTCCATCACAAAAACATAGCTAATCTGAGATGATGAACAGGAAATTTCACAGAAAACTGAATGCCGGTCACAAACAAAACAAAATGTGAGGCTTTTCTGACGACAGGAAGAAGGAAAATTAAATAATTAAGGGTACGACGCATTGGGTCACTTTTTTTTCAAAGTTTAAAAGAGACATACTTAATCTGCATACTGGAAAAAGGCAGTTTTAGGTTGGGTTTATTGTTGTTATTTTTTCTCTTGTTGTTGGCTCATTGAAACTCCTAAGGAAACTGGCATTGTTGCGAGGATTAACATTTCCATTCACTCTAGTTGACCAGTGTTCCCAACAGCTGGGCGTCGTTGGAATTATGACACAATAGCGGTCTTCAGCTCATCAGGACTCCATTGTGACTGCCGTGCGCTTGGTATAAATACAAAGAACAACATACTGAAGGCTTTCAAAGAGCGATAAACGTCTGGAGCGACACATGCTCAATGTAATCAACTACCTTTTGTGGACGTTAAAACTGAAGTTCCGAGGCCAGGTGCCAGTAACAACGGACAAAATACAAAGAGATAAAGATACTACGCACATACCGAAATCTAGAGCAAAAAATGTCTTACAAGAAAAGAAAATGCTGGCAGTAAAGCTATATCATTATGTTCTGTACCTGACTAATTTTTCTTGCTTCTGTGTGTTGATAAACTGGTAAAACATTCTCTACTGCATCTTTTCTTGTTTCTTATCAGACAGTATTCATGCAATGTATATTCTATGTGCTATCCTTTAAATATTTATAAACTAGCTGTAATATGGAATCGGCAGTATGCTGTGTAGGCCTAATGATTATTTGTCCTCAAACAAACCCCGCTTGTTTGTGATATTAAGTCATAGTACGTCATGGGTTTGAACAAATATTTTTATCAAATATTAAAAAGAGATCGCCTAAAAGCCCATGTCTTACGTGTCTTACTGGTCCACTGTGTTGGGGTCGGAACATGTCCATCTCTACTCTCCCCACCTCTTCAGGATCCATCTCAGAGTCTGTCTACTAATAGTCTCCGTCATAATCTGGTTGGAGATCCGTTGGACAGGTCCGCACAGATAGCTGTGTTTCCCTACTCCTCTTTGGGCCCCCTTCTCCTTCAATCTACCTAGAGTGTGGGAACCGCTATCCGCCCTATTCTTCCTCAAAATTTCCCTTACAGTGGTTAGGACGGTTGGTGGGTCCAGTGTCAAATTCCCTCCCATTTCTGCTTCTCCAGCCAGCTTGTCTGCTCTCTCGTTCCCGGTTACCCCCGCGTGACCCGGCAGAGAGATCTAGGCCACTCTTTCCAGGCTGCTGTCCCTGATCGTAGCCTTCCAGTCCACCTACAGCATCCCTTTCTGTACCTTCTGTAGTGTGCTCATAGAGTCAGTAATGATTACTGCTCGCTGATGGCTTGTGTTCTTGGTCCAGTATAGAGCGCTACTACCCCATCAACTCTGACACTGAAGGCCCAGCCCGATTTGATTCCTCTGTTGACTGATCCATCCGTGAATATCACAGCATCTCCATGTTCACTATGCTCTTCTATCAGGGTTTCAATTTCAGCGTTTGAACAGCTCAGTGGCTCAAGGCAAACATTTTTTTCACAAGCTGGTTTATGTCAAGCAATGAATTATATTGCCTTTACCTTCTTTTTGTATTAGTTTCGAGCTGTTTGTTTAATTCTTAAAAGAATGAAACGTGTTGTTCTCTTTCCTGAGAAATTCTGGCCTTGTAATATTTCATCATCTGACCGACGAGATAATACATGCTGATTCATTGTTTTACAAGTGTGCATGTGTGTGCGTGTGTGTGTGTGTGTGTGTGTGTGTGTGTGTGTGTGTGCATG